GGAGAACAAGAAGTTGATCACAAATTTGCGAGGAAAGTGAGGGAGTCTTTGCCTGATCTTAGAGTGATGTGCCATACCACCGACCTCCAAGTAGGGGGAAAGTGTAAATCATCAAGGGTCACAAAAGAAACCACTAAGTTCCAAATATCAAATATCCAGTACCATTCCCATTATAAGAGGAGCTCATTAAAAATTTAAAGAAAAAATGAAGAAAAAATACCATCGGGATGAAATCCAAAAGGGTCCCAGGGTAATAGTCTCTCTCTCTCTCTCTCTCTCTGAAAGTCTTCTCTTTTAAAATGTCTCTCTTTGTAGTCAGCCTGTTGCCAAATCAATCTAGCCCAATTAACCACGGCTTTGTACTTCCTAGTAGATCTGAATGATGTTGATCATGCGAACTTCAATTGCCAGGTAATAGATAAACGATATTGAAATCCCCAGTAGATCTCAAACGCTAGGGGTTGTGTCTCACATCTTTCAAGACCACTATTCGTTCGAAAACTCGAGGAACATTTATTTGGATTGTGCCATGAAGACCAGGATATAAGGGTAAGAGAAAACATTATGATTCCTAGTCTCAAAAGTCCTAGCCAGGGCCAACTTAGCTCATAAGGATCAATTAACTCAAAATTCACAGCCTTCAAACAAATTACTAAGGCAAAATGTTTTCCCAAGAAAGAAAATTCCACCAAATGGTGAACAAATGGTTAAATTAATGGGTGCGGTTTGGTTTTTATGAAGTCGAGGCTCCAAACAATCAAATTATAGCCCACCTTCAAATAGTGTCGAGAAATGTAGTTTCAATATCTCAAATCTTAGACTAGCCTTAAAATATATTTTCATCCTTAATTATAAAACTTAAAGCTTCAAAAATAGTGTAGATCGAGCAGATCTATGAAAACTTGAATAACTTAAAAATTGACAGTCCACAAATACGTTACAAGATGCACTATTTTCAAAACTTGAAATCCATTTTTCTTCTCAAGTCCATGCATCTTGATGTTGAGATGATCGATTTGAGTATATTTGAGAATCAAAACAACCTCTTCTTGAAAAATTTTTGAGGTAGGCTCTAATTTGACTGTTTAGAGCCTAGACTCTAAATAAAACTTTTCCCTAAATTATAAGACTTGTCTTTTAAGAAAAAAAAATAAAAAATCTTTCATGAGGTTCTTTTTCACAATTTTTATAAAAATTTCAAATTTCAAAATTTATCAATTTTTTTTTTTTCAAAATTAAATCTCAATTTTCAAATATTTTTCAGAGATTTATTTGTTCTCCATGGTCACATGAGCCTAACTTGCTAACTTTAAAACCTTTGTTTTTTATCAATTTTTTTAAAATATTCTCTCGAGTTTAAATTTTCAAAATCCTCAATATACGCCACACGGTGGCAAGAATCCAAACTGGATGCCTTTTTCAACACTTCAAATTGTATTTTTTCTTTCTCACATAATTCTAATTGAAAATGTCCTCGGCATTATATTGAATTGCATGGTTCTATCCTCGATATGACGTTAATTTGTGTGATTACATTCTTGGCATGACGTTAAACTATGTGAATGCTTCTCAGCATGATGTTAAACTGTGTGATTCTATCCTTAGTATGACGTTAAAGTACATGCCGTAATTTAATTTCTTAATTTTGAAGTTGTTAATTTCTCATTTCTTAATATAACATTCTTTGATTTTTTATTTATTAATTGTCCCTTTCCTAATTTCTCACTTTTTGACTTTAAAACTCCAAATGCCAGGGTAACTCTTATTTGGATGTTTTCAAAATTATGTGTTTATCATTTCAAAATCTTTAATTTTATTTATTTAATTCGTAACCCAAAACCAGTATTTATTTATAAAACTTCTCCCTAGTTTTCAAATATTTCTAAAATATTTTCGAAAACAATGGAGTTGAATCAGGCCCCAAAAATGATGACATTGTCTTGTCATTTAAAGTTTAAATATGAGGTTTGAGATAATTATCTGATCTAAAGAATCAAGAGTACAATAGAGAAGAGAAAAACCTAAAAAAACCTTTCAAAATCATTTGGTTTCCTTTAACATTTTTAAACCTTCCCTGAGAAATTATAAACCTTCGTAAAGGTTCTAGGAAATCCTTATAACTTTTTAGTAAAACAATTCCCTCAACTTTCAAACCTTTGGGTCATTAGGAAGCCTCAGGCAAAACAGGAAAAAGAATTTTGAGATAAAGCTAAATTCAGAATCACTTCATTCATTTAATTTCATTTAAAATTTAAAACCTAAAATCGGTGGCATGGTGGACCCATGCAGTAATCTCGACATGTCCACTAGCAAAGACATCCTAGCCATCGGATGCAAATAACCTTGGTAACTGAGATAAGATGGCAATCAACATGGTCAATGAATCTGGTGGAACCACTATCCTCAAACCATTTGGTACTAGGCCTTTCATTTTTCTATCAGTCATAGGTGTCTGCTTCTTTGTTCCATCTTTTGAAGGAGAAAGAACGTCAAAGATAAGTAATTATAGACACCTCTTTTGAATTTAAATTTGTTTTTAAATTTTTAAAATCGTTGAAGTACACTATCCTAGTACACTATAGGATACTGAACCATTATCTATACCTATACGATTGTAAGACTTAGGAATATTCCATGAATATGTCATAAATCTCATTTTAGGAGACCACCACTCAAAATGATTGAAAAAGTAGAATGATCTGAATCAGATTTGTCATAATATATTCCAAAATAGGCAAGTATGCAATTTTTTATGTCAACGGGAGCCATATTGTTGTTAGAGATGCGGAGTGCGCTGCTGTAACTAGAAAGGCTTAACAGCCCGCCTCATGTCACTCAATCCAGTTGTAATCCAGATTGCTATTGACCTATTTTGGTGATTTTCTAACCATTTTAGACCACTCAGACATACAAAACCCTAGCCTTTAAACCTTAATCCTAACTCCAAATCTAAAACCCTAAACCTTTTTATTCAAATCAAAAAGCCTAGATGTAAATTCCTAGGCATCTCCCTCTTCCCTTGAGTAAAATCTGATATTTGGATTTGCAAATTCGAAGATCAAGGAGGGAGACTTATATCTCCATTGTCTGTTACGAGTCTAACTCTAGCTACTAGGCCTGAGGGGATGGCCTTTAGGTTCTTTTCTTCTTTCTTCCCATTTTTTTTAGTAGTTTTCTTTATTGGTTAATATTGTTTTCTTCTTTTTATTTTATTCTTCTATTTTCTTTTGATTTTTTCCTTTATTTCAGATTTTGCACAAACCTAGGCTGGCACTGCCTTTGGTTTGTTAAAAAAACCTTTTTTGGAGCTAATTTCTTCATAAATCAGAATTCGGTGGCACCCACCTTTTATCAACTTTCAAATATTAAGTTTGAACAAGATCTTAGACCCATCAGAGTTTAAATAGCCTGGTAAGTCTCAGAATCATGTAAGCACCAGCATCTTACTAATGGGGTATATAGATGTCTAGGATCTAGACAGCCTCTATCTCAGCAAACAATGTTTGGAAGAAAGGGCTCTTATAGGACAGCCATTCCCAAGGAACTTGGGAGCATGGTGCTGGGTCGACAATGGCGATGTACGAAGTACGAAGATATTGGTCATGACATACCAGAAATTCTAAAAGCAAGCAGATAATAGTGACCATGGAAGTATCAATGGCAGGGGTCATGAATAGCAATGGCCACAAATTGGAAGAGACAAAAAGAAAGCCGTTTGAAAACGAGACTCAAATGGTAAATAGGGGCTCTACTATAAGTGTGTCGATTTACTCCTGGCACACCACCTCAGCAGTAATTGCAACTCATTTAAAAAACTCAAATCTAGCTTCCAAAAGGGGTCCCTGTTTTAAGTAAAATGAAAGAACAAAAAGGAATGAACTTAACTAGAGTGAAGATCCATAGATCAAATTTGAAAGCAAGGTGCTGGTGGATTGGCGGTAGTCGAGGTAAGAAACGATTAGTTTATGGGCTAAGTTAAGGGCTTCAACTTTCAGAATAAGGATTATCAGGTTGCAGGTTAATAGAATTAGACCGATTGAAGTTCGAAAGGAATTCACACAAGATTACAAGAATTTGTTAGGACATGAATGTCGAGGCTCCTACGGGTTTGCTAATGCATACCATACCAGTCATGCTCCAAGAGCCCAAGTGGGGACTAATTATAGGCCCTTAGGGCACTGAAAGCAATGTGGCTGCACGTGGCTATATTGTGGCCATGTGCGGCTACATGTCGACTACCTTGAACTTAAAGTGATAGTCACTTTGTGAGTTATGGTCCGGCCACTTGCATAATAAGAGCCAGCCAACGGTTGACCGCACGTGTTGCGTACTAGCGCGATTTGCTGCTAAGAGATTGGATTTGTTTTTCTAGAAAAGGAATTGGTAAAGTAAGGGTATAGATTGTATTAGTGATAATGAAGAAATTGTATAATATGACACCATTTATTATTATTATAAAGAGGTCACAATCACTCCTAATGATTAAATGTAAAATTCAATAGTTGGGGATGTATCACAAAATGTCAGCTATTTCTTCTAACTTTGATTCTATTCAATGACACATTTACAACAACCCAATTTAAAATTTAAAAGGTAAAAGTAATTGAGACCTCCATGTCCTAAAACTAGGTATTCTTTTACATACTTTTTCCAATAATGAAATGATGATTCTTAACTATCAAGCAAGATAGGTCCTACGTAGCTTATTCGGATTCATAAAATTTCTTTACGTGGCATGAGATAAAAAATGTTATCAAAGGAAATTTGCACATATTAAGGGTGGCAATGGACCCCTACCAGGCCGGAGACCTGACAGTTAGACCCGGATCAGACGGATATAGGTCTAAATTTGGGACCCGAAAGGTGGATTGGGGTCTAAAACCTAGACCCGAATAGTATTTGGATCTTATAACAGCTCCGGGTCCAGGTCCGGGTTGCCCGGGTCCGGGTTCGGTTCGGGTTCGAGCCACGCAGTCATATGTAATGTCCATGTGTGCGAGTAGCGTGCAATGGGCAGACGGCCATGATAAAGTCTGAGAGGGGGTAAAGTAAGAAGAAAAATGAGCAGGGGAGTGAGGCTTTTCGATGCCCACTGTCACCTACATGACCCGAGGATCGCTCACGTCGCCCCTCAACTCATCAACACCGCTACTCAATCTGGTGTCCTTCGCTTTGCCGTCAATGGAGTCTGCGAGGCACTCTCTTTCTCTCTCTCTCTCTCTCTACATTTTCACAAATAGAACAGAAAACCTCGCTTGGGGTGTTTGATTCTTAGGCAATTTGTCATTGGGTGTTTTTTTTAATCCATTTCCTAACATATTTATATGCGTATTGTTGTCATGTAGGGAGATTGGGGCCTCGTGAAACAGATGGGAGAGCAATACCCTTCTGTTATTCCATGCTTTGGCCTTCATCCATGGTGTGTAAATTGTGTTACTTTTTAATATTTTTGCTTACAAATTCAAGTGTGCTGGCATTCCTCGTATATAATTTTTATGCCTTAAGTTGAATTTGTGTAGCAATTCAAGTATAATGGCGATCCTCTTATATTAGAATTTGATGTAAATTATTATATTTTTGATACTTCAAGAAATTTCAGTAGCAATTTTAGTAACTTCTTAAAATCTCCTTTGCTGAAATTAGATCGATTGTTTTCATCTTTTAATTTTCGTCTAAGTGTTTAAAGTGCGTATTGTCCCTTGATGATTCAATATCAGGTACGTTACGGAACGAACACCAGATTGGCTTAAAGTGATGAAAGAATTCTTTTCATCAACGCCTTCGGCTGCAGTTGGAGAAGTAAGTGCATCCATGGATTCGGCATTTGTTAAGCTTACTCCTTTCCCTTTCGTTATATGTTAACCATGAACCTGTTAAATTATGTGATTTCAATTCTGAATTCCTAATTGATACGACAAAGCTAGTTTTTGGGTTGATATCCATTAAAGTTGATAGCTTCCACCTGTCTTTGTATAATCCCTGATGCTCAAATCGTATGTGATATGCTTGTGGTATTTAATGATGCACACTCCGTGATAGTGTGAAGCCTTCATGTTCTAGTTCTGTGCTAACTTCTTCAAAATCTCTTATACGGCGTACAGAAAATGGACTCGGCCAAGGTACTTCGCTCTTGGCCGAGCCAAGTAACTCGGCGAGTCATGAGGACTCAGCAGAGACATGCACAAGGCTGAAAAGCCCTCAATAAATTGAAAAACATTGAATCTTTGCCAAAAACATAAATCATACACATCATAGATAAATCCCACATTTTTAATTACTTTTTTTAGAATACCCAAGCTGTACACAAAACACGGGGGGTATTCGACTCGGCAGAGTCCTGATATGCTGATCTCATGCAGTATAGATCCTTTCATTGAGTTAGTTATGTCTAATATAAATTGATAGAGCATATCCTTTTCAGATTGGTTTGGACAAAGGTTCGCATGGGAAGACTATTGATTTTCAATTGCAGGTACCCCTTCTAATTGCCTCAGTTATTACTGATTTCATGCTCTAAATTCCATTATCCATACTAAACCAAAAAAGCTGAACTTTTCAACTAACTAAGAAGTTCCAGCTCATGGTCTTGTACGTAATCAATTATTTCTGCTTTAGGAGTTTTCTAGATACATATTTCACCAATCAGTTAAAGATGGAAAGAGACATTTTCTTTTGTAAAAGTATAATTCAATGGACCATGGAGAAACCAAGTCTTGGGGGTCATCATCTTTCATCATTTCAATAGAAAGTGATGATCCAATGGGCTATGGTTCTTTCAGTAAACTGGATTATGGGATACTTCCTTTTTAATTTTCAGCATGTTCCAATGCTTACATCCGTGTAATTCAGGTCCAATGTTTCAGGCAGCAACTTGAGCTAGCCAAAGAGTTAGATAGACCTGTTTCCATCCACTGTATACGTGCTTATGGTGATCTGCTAGAAATCATGCAGTATGACTCTTGATGCCATTTTTGGGGTTCTTAAGTTTACTATGTAACTCAAGTCTGGGTTCATAAATGTGAGAAAATTATATTTTATTATTTGCCCCCATTTCAATAAAGGGATAGAATATCATAATTCAATGGATCATGGTACTCCAAGCTACATCCACAGGTAATGGTGCCTGGCTAAATGTCACTGTGGGCCCTGCTACGGTTAATCTCCAGTCATCTGTTGGTAGGGACAGATGGTTGATGTAGCCTTCGAGTGCAATGTATGATGACCCATTGAACTACGGTATTAATCCCCTTACGTAAACAATTGCATGAACAATTTAACTTGCAAATCTGGCTAGTGTTACCCTCACAAGTTCTATGTAATCAATCAATGTGTTAGCTTTGATGACTAGGTCTATTGGGCCATTCCCTGCTGGTGCTATTCTTCACTCTTATCTGGGGTCGGCTGAGATGGCTGCTGGGTTAGCCAAGCTTGGGGCATATTTTTCTTTTTCTGGGTACCTTATGTCTATGAAACAACAGAAGGCAAAGAAAATGCTAAAAGCAGTGAGTGTTTACAGTTTCTATCTAAACTAGATGTTACGTTCGCATACCTTCAGTTGCCACTTTTGTGTATCGTGCTTAAATTGTTTCCCATTGTTATATGGAAAAGTATACCATATTCAAAATGGACTATGAAAAACTATGGCCCATGAGACTCATGACACCATTTGATGAAATGATGGAAGGTGATCGAGAGGGAGCAGGGACTTGCCATAAAGGCAATGTCCTGTTCTGGTTGGTACATCTATTTTTCCTTTGCTGCCCTCCATTTCATTAAAAGGTCATGATTCCAGTGGATAGTTTCAAGTGGCTCATTGGACAAATATACACATGGGCGCTATATTACATCCGAGTTCTCTTTCTGTTTTTTCCTTTGTGTAGGTACCCACAGAACGGATTTTATTAGAGTCAGATGCACCTGATGGGCTGCCAACATTGAATACGAGTTCACTAGTGTGGGTACCTGGGGATCCTTCTGTTCCACAGGAGGGGGGGTCAACCTTACCAAAAGAGACTCTTAATCATCCTGCCAATATACGCACTGTAAATACTTTGGATGCCACATAACAATAAAATAAAGAGTACTCTGAATGCCATTTATTGAATGCTTTCAAAACATTTCTTCATTAATACCAATATGAACAATATGTAAGAGCCACGACCGTAGCAGTTCATGTTTCTATCAATATATTGAAGACCTTGATACCTGTTGTGTGAGCATTCCATGAGTGTTCGTTCTGGGTATTTCATAAGCTTCCCATGAAATACTTGACTTATTTCCTTCCATTACATGGATCATCATATTCTTGGTTCTTCACATATTTTGTTAGTCATTTAAAAGACAAAGGTACCTTTGAATATGTAATTTTGTGCTGATAGTAGCAAGTATATGTGATTTGGATTTGCCTGTTCAAATATTGTGGCCATGTTTCACTTTATCTATGATATTTACATCATAATTCTGCGAACGGATTTATTATTCTTTCTAACTGGAACTGCAATGCATCTTATGCAGGATATTTAATGAAATATTTCTAGTGATTATCCTGTAATCTAAAACATGACCTTTTTTAAACATGCTCCATGCTTAGAGTGCATAATGGTTAAGCCCCTTGGAAAAGTTAGAAGCACCAAGATTCCCAATACCCTTTTCTCAAGGCATAAACGTTTTCTATTTTGATCTAATTCTATTATGCCCAAAAGATGTGGTAAACTACACTCACATATTAAAAATGCACTTTGTTGGACATTAAAGCTTTAAGAGAAATACGGAGAGTGGAGAATCTAAGATACAGAAACTACCAATTGTCCACCAAGACCATGTGCTCAGGTCAAGGCTAGGGTGCACACAAAAATACACCTACTTAATACGAATCTTACGGTCTTAATTATTAGTCTCAGGCATGGATCTTCACATCAGCAGTCACCCTGGGGATTGGTTGACAAATTATATAACCGCTTTAGCACAATAGATATATTTAATATGCTTTTTAATCAATGATCTGGATACGTGGATTGTTCCTTACAGGGTGCAAATGCATTAGTTCAATTTTAGTTGGCGTACAATGTAGTTTCCCTAGATTCATTGCTATCTTTGATGCTCATCTTATTTTGGCATGGGAGGAATTTGAACCCCCTATCTGATGTACAAGAATAAGAGCTCCAAAACACAATATTGTGATGGCATTCATGCATCAACTTTAGCTGTTGGCTGATCCTATATTGATTACAATGTGACTCTTTAGTTTTCATAATCCTTTCTATCCCCAGGAATCAGGCTGGTGCATGAATAGTTAGTAGTTGACGTTAGCAATGCTACATCTCAAGTTCAATTCCTACCACTGAACAGAAGTATAACTTTTAAAAAAAATCATTTCTGTCCCTTGTTTTGTGACTGCAGACTTGTAAAGTGTTAGTGCAGGGCATGAATTTCTGTCTTCTTTTAGGAACCATGGAATGAAGAAACTAGAGTGGATTCTGTGTAGCAAATCTGCAGACTATTTTCAATATTTCATGATAAACATTAAATGATTCAAAGTTTGATGTCTAAACTCAATTAATTTATTTATTTTTATTACTTATGTCATGAATCTATTAACTAGGATCACAGGAAAATAGTGTACATTTATTCAGTATTTGTGTATTTGATTTGTTTAGCACATTCTACATTCAGTAGAATGTTTTTTGTTTTTAACATAACAATACCTAGCCAATATCTTGTGATGTTTAGTTGATGGTGATCTAAATGGCATCAGGAATAGCTTGGGACTAATAATGAGCAAGTACTGACTTGAAATTTTCTTTTTTAGGTCCTTAATTATGTGGCATCACTGATCGAGATGCCTGAAGAAGAAGTAGCTGAAATTGGCTACAAGAATGCAATGCGCGTGTTCTCTTATCCAGCTTCCAAGGTTTGTGAATAAGTTAAACTGCCACATTTTCCCATTTTTGTGAATGGGAAAATGTAAAACCCCATCATATTCGGGATCAAATGTTTACTTTCACAGTTACTGTAATTTCAGTGTTGCAATTTAGTTTGTCTATAAAACTGATGTTCTTTCATATGACAATCAAATTTGTGCAATGTTGATATGTGCACCTCGTGTTCTATGCAAGCCCTGAGTTGCAGAGTGATTGTTCTCCACAAAAATTGTCCATTCAAATGCCAAACACATTCGTGAAATGATAATTGACTAATTGAGTCGTTGTGTCGGTCTCCTTTAGGGATTTTTAAGTTAGTATACCACATTTGATTTCTATTGTTGGATTAATTCCAACTTTATTGTTAATGTTCCGATTTATCCAAGTTGCAAATCGTAGTAATCTGAATGAAAAATCTAAGCACTATTTGGATGGACCAAATTTTGGAAACGTGTTTTTCTTTCACTGCTCATTTAGGAGCATTGTTCGCAAAATCGTCCGATCTAACGGCCGGTTCCGGTTTTGGGCAATTAGGGTAATCAACCGGTATTTTAAAAAAAATAAAATTAAAAAATGTATATAAATTTTTAAAAATAAGAAAATTAATTTGTAATGTATTTTTAAATATTCTTTACATTGTGGTAAAGATTAAAAATTGCTTTGGTCATTAATATTCACTTTTATATTTTCTCATCTTTTTTTAAAAAAATTAAAAATGGCGTTGATAAAATATAAAATGGGTTAAAATCTAGTTTTTTATTAATTTTCAACTTCATTTGAATGTGTTTTATTTTAATCATTTTTTATATGTTTTTCATATTTTAGTAGATTTTTTTTTTGTATTTTTATTTTATTTTTTTTACCGTTAAGGATTTATCTATTTGTTAGAGCGGTTGAATCGGCCGGTTTATCAATTAGGTCGGTTAAACCGCTTCCAGACCCATTACCGGTTGACTGTTTAGGTTCGATTTTGCGAACACTTATTTAAGAGGAAGAAAGGGTTTATTGATTTTTAAAGGACGGGCGGGCAGCACTTTCATGTTTGATAATAAGGAAATTTTACAGTAAAGTGAATACCGCCGATTCTATGGGAACCATGAAACTTTGAGCATCTCTTTCCCCAGAAGAGGGGGTGCGTGTTTCATAAATCAAGCAAGCCCTCAAAAACGACCCCAAGATATCCATTATCCTGCGGGTAAACATGCCTTTCATTCCTAATGACTTCCGCATTTTTTTTTAAGTTGATCTACCGCCCAAAATGGTCCCTGTGCATGGGAAATGTGCGTGAGAATTTTCCGGATCATCCGATCCAGATCCGGATGCAAATAGTATATATTTGACTAGGATTTAGATCGGGATCTGATCGGATCCTGAACATTCAGAATTGAACGAATCCAAAATTATTTGCAAGAGCCGGATCTGGATTTACTTCTGATTATGATAGCGGAAGGGTAAAAAATTTAAAAGCTTTTTTTTTGGCTTCACGACCTGGCAAGCGTCCCATGTGAACGCCACGTGTGCATCTATGAATCCGGGATGGGTGACATGTGTCCTTTGGGTTGAGGCCAGCCTGTCGTCCTGTGCCCACCACGCTTCTCTCTCTCTCTGTCTATTTCTTTCGTCCTGTTTCTCTCTAGCTCTTTACACTTCTCTCCATTCGTCACTCTCTCTAAACATCTTACTAAATTTCTCCCTATTTTCTTTGGGTTTTCTATGTGTTTTAGAGAGAAAGGAGAGAGAACCTACGGATATTTGAATCCACAAGATGGGCTCATATTCCCATTATCCGGTCAAAAATGGCAAGAGATTCGATCTTCCAGCCAAAAACTGGGGAAGAAAAAATTTCCCGTCCAAAACCAGCTGGAGAAAAAAAGCCTGGTTCGTTTTAGAAGTTTTGGGGATCAAGCAAGAATAAGAACGAGAAATTAAAATGCAGTAATGAATTTGTTCAGCTTTCCTAGATCCAAGTCGATGGGGTTTAGAGGTTTCTGTTGACTTCTCCAGTGGTTTTCTGGGCGACTCAAGAAACCAAAAATAGGACAATAATACATAAAAGAACTTGCCCATACAATTTCTGCTTCTTCGCACCATCCTGCCTTTTGATGCTCTCGAGTTTGTGAATGCAAATCTCTATTGTCTCACAGTCAACCTTGCGAAGACATACCTTCACGATATCGCGGGGCATCAAGAAACCCCAAGTGTGTGTTTTGTTTAGAGGGAGAAAGGATGATTCAATTCCCATCATTCATCTTCAATTAATATACGGTGAGGATTAGGTCTTCTAAAATTTAAAATTATTATATATATTATAATATAAATTACATTATTTTTAAAAATCAGCTAAAATTCGGATAGGATCAATCCAAATTTCGTATCCATACCTGGATCCAAATTCCGGGTTTTGGATCCGAATTGGGTGAATTCTCAGTTCTATTGGGAAGTGCATTGCATGCTTCTGCATTTGGCATCCGGATTAGAGCATTTCACAGGAAGGAAAACTGCTTGTTACAAATCATTGCCCATTGTAAAACTTCTTTAATTGGATATCAATGTATGCAATGAGGAAATAATTGTTGTTGCAAATTACAAAAAAAAATTGTACTCAGTTCAATTTGAAAGGTTTACACAAGAAAGCAAAATGTAATATTCTACCCCATATTTGACATTTTTTTAAAACAATGTTAAAAGATATTATCGTATCCGCATTAATCAAATAAAATGGACACCGGAGATTACTTCCCCCTTCTACAAATAAAGTTAAAACTTCATATAAACTTTTTCCTAATTTAAATTGTGTTTAGCAATTCGTATTCATTGAATGACCACATTCTCTCGGCTGTGATAGACCCCGCCCCAATCCTTAAGCGAGCAAAAAGGACCCGACCTCTCCAAATCTGTCCTGTCTGACACAGATTTAACCCTTAAACAAGCCAGACTCAATGCTGAAATTTGGTGTTAACACCAAAATATGATTAAAAGTTTAGTCAGCCAAAATCTGGAGAAGTTCAGTCTCTTTTCGTCCTCATAGTACTTCATATGATTAAAATAAACCAGCAATCCATGCCAACTCCAGAAGGGAAAAAAGAAACAGAAAATTACCTCTAGTCCAATGGACCATGGCAGGCTAGGTCCCTTGGGAGGACAACAGACGTCAGAACCCGAGAGCAGTAGTGACAGGAGGACTCACCATACCAGGACACGGCTAGAACTTGTGGATATCACTCTTTTCATCACTGTTCATTGTTTCAACAGATGGTCAACCATAACGGACCATAATTATCTCCCATGATCATTTCGACCATAGCAATACTTTCAGATGAGAAATTCAAAAGTTGCATAACATCAAATACCCTGGAAACTGACCATATCTTTCATATGATGCTATAACAGAACAAAAAAAATGGTCTCAATGTATTATATTCATTTCCGAAAATGAATATTCATAACAGAATGGATATTTATGACAGATGGTTGCAGTGTCTGCTGAATCGAAATGGCAAATGGCAATACAGGGTGAAAGAGGAAGCAGGACAATCTCTTGGAACGACCATCTACACCACCTGCCTCAGGGCCTGTTTCCCATAACATTAAGGAGTCAGCAAAATTGAGATCCCATATTCAACTATTTCTGTAATACGTTTTTTTTTAAAAGAGAAACTATTTCTAAAATATTTGGAAGGTGAGGTCATACACCATTAGGTTTATTTTATATAGAAGGCATTTAGGATATGGAGAGAAAACATAAATTAGTGTTTAAAAAGTCAGACTAGGGTTCCAACCTGCCAGGGTCCCAAGCCTCCATCCTCTCAGTCACGGGCCAGCCCGAGTTGGAAGGATTTTTCAATACTAAAGTTATAAAGTTCTAAAACTTATAAGAAAAAAGGAAGACTGATGCGAATCCAGGGGAATTGCCTAGTTCCCAATCTGATTCGACTCGAGCGAATCCCAAACTGGAGCAAATTTTTAAACATTGAATTTAATAATCACTTTGACTGCTGTGTTAGACAAACAATGTGATGGTATATAAAGAATAGGGCAAGCTTTATACAGGAAAATGTTGCTTGTGTGTACTGAGATTATTGTGTAAGTCTACCTGGTTTTATCTTGAACTTGAGGGAGTAAGGGTGCCTCTTCGAAATAAACTTGATAGGATGTTCAGTTGAGGGCCTATGTCTTTCTGTTGAGGATATCAGCTGCAAGGTCATCATAGAGATCCCAGAATTAATCCACAACTTCAGTGAATCATACAGGCTTCAGAGTAGCCACAAGAAAGAGAAACAAAAGGAAAATGTTAATAACAATATGTTTGTGGACCATTAAGACCCTAAAAGACTAAAGCAACAAGGGAAATTTACAATAATCCAATATGGACAATGGAAAAAATAGTGCATTGGTGTGACTATTGTCTAATGAAATGATGACAGACACATATGAAGAGCAGGACGCAACATTGGAGTCATGTCATGAACTGGTGGGTCCCACAATGCATCAATCATTCGCATTATCAGACGGAGGTGATGCCATTGGAGTCCGAATTTTCATAGTCTTTTGGATTATAGTAGATTTACCAGATTTGTTTGTATAATATCTAACCAGTTTGGTTACAAAAATCATAAAAGGGACTAGCAATGGAAAAACGGACCCCATGCAAAGATAAACGTACAAAATGAGAAATAGACCAAGTTTTCTCCCCAGTACTCATGGCATGAAGGAGCTACCTTTGGTGGATTCCAACCCCTTCCAAGCTCGGGGCACAGAAGAGAAAAGAAAATGGACCAGCATCAAACCCCAAGTTTACTAGCCTGAAGCAACTGAAGCCCCTTGAAATGTTGGCTTTGATATATAGTAGGAAAGATTCAGCTTTAAAACCAAATAAATAGATAAAATTCAGACTAACCTTCTCATCAAAGCGGAAAAGTGACTGATCAAAATATGGCGAAGGGCTCTGAGACTGGCAGTGGAAAGGCAGAAATGCCAACGTCTTCTTAACAAGCTGCACAAATGTAAAAGAAAAGAGCAACCAAAGATGAAGATATGGGGTGCAATTATAAATATAAGGTATGTAGAAGATTCTGACGTTTTAAAGACAAAAGGATTGGATATGTGAGTAGAATTTATTTGTTTTCTGCATTGGTTGGACGTATCAGTGAAAATTTCAACACTTGAATTTGGCATTATGTACTATTTAGTAGATAATTGCAAAAAACGTCAAGAAAGGACATCTAGGTAAAAGGTCCTCTCTCTCTCTCAATGAGAACGATATGTTTTTGTGTTATCTGGAATTCGCAACAGAATCCCACCAAAATTAGTGATACCAAGATTGCCAAAGCTATCAGAACTAAATTGCTGCTTTTCAATTTTTATCGTTCCAATTGGACCAGAAAGGCACAGAGCATTACATTATTGATAAGATTTGTAAGGACATTAAGGATGGAATGGAGTAACAAAAGGGGAGCAAAGTTGGGGAGGTTGACCATGTCTTTCTTTCGTTTCTCCCATTCTGTGCAATTTGTATCTAGTCATTTCCTCAATTGTAAGTTACAACCATTCTTTCTAATAAATGAGCTGTCATTTACAAATGGAAAAAGTTTATATAAGGTACAAACCTTATGGTGTAGAAGTAAGGTGCACATCAAAAATCCACTCGAAAATGTTGTTCCGACGTCAAAAAAATCTACAATAGATCATGCCAACCTCGAGATGTATGGATATGAATATATATATATATATATATATATATATATATATATATATATATATATATATATATATATATA